TCACTTTCCATCTCACAGTATTTCTTCTGCACCTGGACTAGGTAATTCCCCAGAATATTTTCAAGATGGCTGCTAGCACATGTTTGCCTGTTGCCAACTCTTGCAGTAATATCCAGGTGGAAGAGGTTGCTTGGATGAGTGTTTGTGGGAATCAAAGAAAATGGCTGATACATGCCCTTTAAACAAACTTACTCCTTGCATGAGTGTGGTGTTTGAGAATTGTCCTTTGTAAGAACAAACTCTTATGAAGTAAGAGATTCTATAAATTACTCCTAAGATTTTAGGAAACAATGTCTTTTCTAGAGGTTTCTAATTTGTGATAGCAATTCAGTGTCTTGGTGGCAATTACTATGTTCTGTAAGATCATTTACAGGAAAATCCCTGGGGGAAAAAGAAAAACCAAACCAAAACCAAAAGAATTATTTTTATCAACTTGCTCAAAACTTTTGTATAAATATTTTTACTTGTATTTACTCAGCCTCAGAGCTTGGGTTTTAGCTGCATTTATCCTTTTGCTGCCCCTGCCCCACTTTTCCAGCAGGTTGCCTCCTCTCTATTTCATTGTGGCTGCTTCTGTCTCACCCACATTGAGGTGTTTGGTTTTGTCAGCTCCTCTACTGCTGTCATCCTACATTTTTATAAACTCCCTTTCCCCATATTCTGTCCTATTTCTTCTTCTTTTTTTTTTTTTTTCCAAGGAATTGGTCATACATGGTAGAATGGACTCAGGATATAAAGATGAGATAAGAGGATTTACCAGACAAAAGAGTGGGACCAGATAAAAGATAAGTCACTGTCATTCTTAAAATGGAGCCAACAGAACTGGGAAAGAACAGGTTTTTTGTTTAAGCTGTATTTAACACCAAAAATCCTTTGTTATAACTTTGTTTTTTCCCCACAATGTTTTTGCTTCAAGTATGTTGACTAATATTGCCAAATTATTGCCAAACAGACTTATTTGCTGCTTTCAAACCAGGCCTATGGTTGTAAGTACAATGCATCTGATGGCTTCAGTGACCTCCTAATGGCTATAGTGTGCTGTGACTTCTGAATTCCCATGAAATCACATTTATCCATGTAAATACAACTAAAATCCTTTGCTCATGGTTGCACTGACACAGGGCATTTGTACCTGAACCCTTTCACCTGGCTCAAGGGAATGCACCAAAGTATTTTAACTTGCATTTTGTTGCGTTTCTGCATTTTTAAAATCCTTTTTTCTTCAAGGGGAGAGGATGTGTGGGGGGCTGACGTAGTGAATCTCACTGTTTCCTATTGGAGTGGGTGAGACTTCTCTGGTGAATGACGTGAGTATATGGTTAGTACCACAGTGGGATCAGTGACATCACTGCTCCGTGGCAATGGAAATGTTGATGCTGACTGAACAATGAAAACCCAGACTGACACTGACGAGCAAATGTGATTCACCACTAATTTATCCCCAGGTATTGAGATGGCCATGAGATAACTTGTCTGCAAGTCTGTATAATTTACAAATATAAATGTAGAGAGCTTGAAAAATAATTTTCACTGTCATCTAACTTTTTTCTGTGATTGCTTTTGCTTGCCCAGCCAAGAAGCAGGTGATCAATCAGGTATGAATTGCTAATGGCTAATGAATAGTAATCAGATTCATAGTTTGTAAACAACTCTTAGCCTGAAAACTGCTTTTCTAGAATATCTGATGATTTTTTCCAAATCAAAATGTATTTTGCCCGTTTGATGAACACACAGATACGTATTTATACATGCACAATTGATATGCCTCATATGAATACACAGAGACAGTGATATTTGAACAACTGCAGTTTGGATGAACAGCAATTGAGGAATTTAGCATAGATTAGCATAGTTAAACAAGATTTCTACAATTATAAATTGACAATGTAAAGTATCAGTAATTTACTCTTTTAATTAACAAAAACATTTGTTACTAATCTGTCTAAAGGACCTACTTTAATTTTTTCAGGTGACTGGCTCTTGCTTTTTGTCAGTCGTTTCAATCTGATTAGCTCTTTCAATTTAAACATTTTAGTATAAGAGTTTTTCTAATAAGAAATAGTTAATTGTAAACAAACAGGCTGCAATAACAAAACACTATTCGCTGAAATTTTGTTTCCATTAATAAAACTTTCGGAGAATTTAAATATTCACTGAATCTCTAGTCCTTGTGCAGCAGTTTTCAGGGAAAAGCTCTCTATGTAGTGGTTGGACTTAAGGAAATAAAAGAATCTCACACAAATAGACATATGAAAAAGAAGTTATTAAACTATTTTGGTAAAGGCAAATGTCTTAAGAGAAAGTGGATCACAAAAAAGATTCAGTTTTCTGCATTTTAGTTCAGGATTTTTAGGCAACAGGTTTTAAGAACCATGCAGACAGAAACAGTTTAGTAAAACCTGAGCTTTCTTGGTTTGTTTTGTGGATTTTTTGTTTGTTTAATTAGATTCTCTAGTCTGTTTTTGCATTCTAAACCTTTTTTCAAACTCTGTGGATTGTTTCTCACTATTGCTGAACATTTAGCTGGCGGGAGAGGCACTTGAATTTGAGAGCGTTGCTATTTTCAGAAGAATATCTTTTTCAGCGTTACAGATTGATCCATAAAGACTCTAGCTGTAACAGGAGTTGGTGTGTTTTCTAGCATTAAAAGAAGTCCTGAAATGATAAATATAAAACACTTGAACGATTTAAAATAAAACCCAAAAGCGTAGGTTTACACTGTTTTCGAAGCAGGAGTCGAAATTCGAAAGAGCGAGCCTAATTTGAACGGAAGTAGGAAGACTGCAGTAGTTGGATGAGGATTCCCACGGACACCTGGACCCGGTACTGCAGCACCTGGAGTGGCGGCTGACGGCGTGGAGGTCTGATCTCCGGCAAGGTAGAGGAGCAAAACAGAATCTCCCGCTTTTCGGGTGCCCTGCTGGCAGCGGCACCACAAACATCTTTTCCGCCAATATCTGCAACGGTGGCGGCGGTGCCCGCTCCATCCCCGCCGCGGAGCAGCGCCCGCGCTGCCTGCGCGGGGACCCCTCCGCGCCTCAACAAAATCTGCTGCCAGCGGCACGGCGGCGGCCCCGCCTGGGTGGGCACCAGCGCGGCGGCCGCTTCTCCTCCGGCTGGCGGCGGGGAGCGCCGCGGGGATGCGTCGTGCACCTGCGGAGAGCGGTTCCCTCCGCCCCGTCCAGGTGGCTGCGGGGCAGGAGCGCCGGGCGCGCTGTCGTGCCGCGGCGGGGTGGCACTGCGCCGGGCTCCAGTCCCTCGCAGCCGGGCCCCAGAGGTGCCCCCGCGCTGGCGGTCGGCACCGCGGGTGCCCCGAGGGAGTTCCTGCCTGCCTGGCGCTCGGGCAGCCCGCGCTGAGCCCCCGCCGCGGGCCGGGCACGCCCCGACGGCTGCCGCCGGGCGAGGGGAGGCGACGGCCGGGCACCGCAGCCCCCGCCCGGTGAGCGCCGCCGTTCGGGGTGAGGGCAGGGGCGCCAAGCAAGGGCTGCGCCGCCTGCCCGGGTGATGAACGGTGATGGCCGGTTCCCGGCGCTGACAGTGCTGGGCGCACGGCTGTCACGGCCGGGCAGCTCGGCGGCGGGGAGCCCGAAGCCCGGGGGCTCCGGACCTGCCGACGGGCGGCGCGGGGCATCGGCTCTAGGACGGCCGCGGTCCCGCTCGGCCCGGCCCGACGGGAGCGCTCAGCAGGGCTGAGGGGAGCCCCATAGCGAATTGGCGATGCTGGCCACCCTTTCCTGTTGCTGGAGATGAATTCCCGGTGGGCTCGGCCCTCTCCTCCCGCCTCTCGGCAGCTGACGGGCAGGGTAGAGAGAATTTAGGGCGAAAACGAAATACAGGCGGCGGGGGCTTTGAGCGCGGTCATCGGCCCCGCTGCAACCCCAGCCCGCCTTTGGGCTTCCCTCGGCCGGGCGTTCGGCCGGCGGCTGCCCCGCTGAGGGCCGCCGGAGCGCGGACCGCCGAGGCACCGGGACGGGCGGGCTGCGGCCAGGATGTGGGGGGAGGCGGCGGGGAGGGACCCCGAGTGCCCAGGGACCCCAGCGCGGGGTCCAGGTGGCGGCTGGCCAGCGCGAGAGGCTCCACTAGCCAGCGACAGTGCCAGTGCTTGCGGAGCAAGGCCGGTGTCAGCCCCGGGACCACACTGCACCTGAGAGCAGGATCTGAGGCAGCCTCCGGGGAGCCGGAGGGCTGGGGTTGAGGGGTGGGTGGCTGTCAGTGTGCCAAGTGGTGGGAAAGGGAGACGGGAGCCAAAGCAAACACGTGTGATGCTGAGCGTCGGGGAGGGTCTGCGCATCTTCGCGTGGAAATGGTGTTGGATGCCCCACAGAAACAGAGGGGCAGCTCTCGGGTGTCTCCAGCCCAGGATTAGCAGGGTGTCCGCCTTTTGATCTCAGCAGCTGGAATTGTGTGTTTAAAATAATGGCACCGCATAGGGAGGATCTTTTCCTCGTGTTTCTCCCCGCTTTCCCTTTAGGTAACCGCTGTGCTGTAGCTCCCGTGTGCGCGCCTAGCAGTGAGAGGAAGGGAGGGAGGGAGCCTGGGAAGCGCTGGCTCCGCCAGTGGGCGTTTTCTGGCGGCCGGGGCCGGTGTGGAAGCGGCACTGCAGTCACTGTATCTGCCTCTTTGCAGGCGAGCGCGCACATACGGGGCAATATTTGCCTCGCTCGAAGAAAATAGAGATTGTTGCTGTTTTCTTGCTTTGAATGCGAGGTGGGAGCATGGGGAAAAGCGGACTTTAAAGGGGATTGAAACCGCTTGGCGGTCAATAGCGCCCTGTCCCCCCTGGCCTAAAGGGGGAACGGAAATGTGAGGATTTTATGAGGGCGGGGAGCCGGGGTGCGGAGGAAATACTGCCCGCGAGTTGCCGGAGGGAACGCAGGACAGATCCGCGGTTGCCCCTTGTTTGGCTCCGTCCCTTTTCGGCTTCTCCTTTCGCTTTACTCCCGTATCTGTGCTAGACGTCCTGCCTTAAACTACCGCGAAAGGGAGGGAAGAGCGGAAGCATGTCCAACCCGGAGAAGCGGATCTTATCCCGCCCCTCGGCCCCCCTAGCTGCAGCACCCGGGGAAAAGCCCGGCTCCGGCAGCCGCCCGCTCCACTCCCATGGCCAGAGCGGTGGAGGTGGAGGCAGCGGCGGGTCTCCTCCTCCTCCCCCCGCTCCTGGAGGCGACTCGGCTGCCTGCAGCTCCCTCTCTCTCCTCCTAACAACCACCACCAGCAGCAGGAGCCGCGCTACAGGCACAGCCTCCTCCGCCGTCTCCGCCAGCATCGTCTCTAGAGCGGCAGCGGCTCCTTTCCTCGTTCCAATCCCCTCCTTCTCCTACGCTTCTCCATCTTCTTTTTATTTCTTGCCGCCGCCTCCTCGTTTCCCCTCCTCATTTTCCTTTAACCTCACAAGTCTCCAAGGGAGGGAAGGAGGAGGAGAGGCAGCGAGAGCGGCAGGAGGAGGAGGTGGAGGAGGAGGAGGAGGAAGAGATGTTGGCGGAGCAGCAGCAGCAGCTCACTTGATCGCCCATCCAGGCGGCAGCGGCAGGAGGAGACTCTTCTGTTCTTCCTCCATCCAGGGCTTGCTGCTCCGTTCCGCAGCCGGCGGCCCACGGCAGCACCACTCCCGGCTCCTCCTCTGCCCAGCCGCCTCTCGCCCGTGGTCCTGCAATTCCCTCGGTGCTGCAGCAGCAGCAGCAGCCCGCGGCGACGGGATCCGAGGAGGCGACGGCCCCGGCGGGAGCAGGACTCCTAGGCGGCAGCAGCGGCAGAGAGGCGCCTTCTTCTCCTTCTCGTCTCCCCTGCTCCTAGGGCCAGACATGGAAGATGGATCTAATTCTGCAAGCTGCTTTAGGAGGTTTACGGACTGTTTCTTGAATACAAGTAGGTACCGGAGCGCTGTGCCCGGCGGCGGGTCGCGCGTGTCTCGGGGGAAGGCGAAGGGCTGTGTCCGAGGCTGGGTGCATGCCTTGTGGAAAGGGCATTTCTTTGTGAGTGGGGGGGAGGCGAGGACACAAAGGGGCCGTATACGTGGGGCGTGCGTGGACGCATGGAGGAGCGGCCGGGTGTGTATTGAGGATGCACGGACAAAGGGGATGCTGGATGTAATTGAGTGCTCTTTGTGGGAGCTGGCTGGTAACGCCTCGAGGATTTCGGCATCATTCCGGTATCAGACAACTCTACGTGTATGTATGTCAGCCCTTTGCCTGGTACATGCTTAATTTGCTCAGGAATGACACGTAGAGGAATGGAGACTGTCCCCCCTACTTACTTGAACAGGCAGAAAGGAAGCATTATGGTATCGGCAATTGACAGAAAAGCGGCAGCGGAGGACCGAAAAGGGTGAAATGGATCGCTTCTTTCTGCATCCCCTGTCAGATCTGCCACGCGCGTTCACATTCCATATTTCTGATTCGGCTTTGGTACCGGGTGCCGCCTTCCCCTGGCCGTGGCTCGTTGTAAGGCGGGCCGGGAGCCCGAGAGGAAACATGTGCTCCTTGCTACGAGGGGCTGGCGCTGGAACGGGGATAGTGACCGGCTGCCGGGAAGGGCGGAATAAAGTGGGGATTGAGGCGCTCCACAAAGCGTTCCCCGCAGCCAGCCGTTCCCAAAGCCTCGCCGGCTCCCACCGAGCCCGAAGGCGGGGGAAAGGCGCGGGGCCGCGGTGGCCCCGTGCGGGCAGGCGGGAGCGGGGCCGGAGCTCGGCCTCCTCTCGGTGCGGGGCTCGGCGAGTGCCCTCCCGGGCCGGCCTGGCGGGAGCGGCCCGAGCCCTGCGGCGGGCTGTGCGAGCGGGGAGGAGGCTTCGCACGGCACAAACTCCCCGCTCGCAGGCAGGGACGTGCGGCCCGGCTGCCCCTCGGGTGTCTCGCCCTCCCGCCTCCCAGGCGCTTCCTCGGCACGCCGCGCCCCGCCGGGTGCGCGCCCGGGGCTGCGGTGGCCCCGGAGCGGCCGGGGCTTCGGGCCGAAACCTGCCGGGTCTGCCTGCCCCTGTCCCCCCGCCAGCCCTCAGTTCCAGCACCCCGCCGGGAAATGTGTGCCGGGCTTCGGTGTGGTCACGGGACTAAAGAATTTACAAGCAGTGCATGTATCAGGACTGAAATATATATATTATATATATTTATCTTTTATAGGGAACTTTTTTTTTTTTTTTTTTTGCTTGTCTAGTATTTTGATGCTTAGGATGACTTCTATCAGCTGTGGCTATATTTTCTTCTTGTGACAGCTCCTTAGTTTGTGGATCTATGCCTTAAGGTGTCCCTAGACTTGAATTTTAGTCTGTTAGTATACTTTGTTATAGGTGGATTTTTGGATACAGGTGAACGGTGTATGGTTCATTGGGGAGATGTGAGAAGAACTACAGAGATGTCCACTGAAACCTGTTTTATTACTTACAGCTGTCTTAAGCACAAGAGCCTGCAAGTGCGGTAGTACTTGTGTTCCAGAGTAGTGGTGAATAAAGATGATTATTGTATTTGCTGCACTGTCTTTTTTCAACTTTATTCAATAGTTGATTATGGCACAGAGCCACATACTTGTTTAGTCTTGAGACCTGAAGGGAATCCTAAACTCTTCCAGGTTTAATTTTCTTTGTGCTTGAGAAGGGTAGAATGCTGCCATGTGTGTGGTGCAATGCTGATGTTTTAAAATAAGTGGTCTTGAGAGCAAGGAACTGAACGAGGGAATGTGTATCATGTGGGGCAATTCACTCCTATGCTAGACCAGGAAAAAGATGATGTGGAAAACATAAGCTTTGTTCAAAACAGCTTTAAAAGCAGTAGTGAATTCAACTTAAGCTACTTTATGAACTCTTGAACACAAGAAATTTGGTCGTCTTTCACTGACTGTGACCTCTGACTGAAGATTTTCCGGCAGGCAGGAAAGGAGCAGAACTGTTCTTTCCCCTGTGAGTTTACTGACGTCTAAGAAGACATGCAGTCTCTCTCTGTGGAAACACTTTTCCATACTCCGCAGCCTGTGCTCATGAAACTTTCAAGAACTTAAAAGTCTGGTATTCTCTGCTCTTCTTTTGAATGTGATTGAAACTGACCAATGGGCTCAACAGGTATTAGTGAGGTCGGATAGACTGACGGACAGACATTGACATGTGGTGCATATGTACATATGTGTACCCTTCCCTCCCTCCACGAGTGATTGCATTAATCTGATTTCCTTAGGAAACCAGGCTGAAAAAAGGAGGGGAGGGAAGTCAAACAAGATACTGTTCAGTTCCAGTGCAGCTACTGCAAAGAGCACTTGTCCAACTGTTTGGAGTGCTGTGCACAGTCCTGTTACAGTGCAGCCGGAAGGCTATCATTGTTTTGAAGAGGATGAGATCATGTAAAATAATGAAGATAATGTGCTGTGTCTCATAGCTTTTGTTTCCTGAATTGTATTTTAAGTTCTAAATCATATCCATGTGCATATATATGCTCTTTGACTTTTAAGACCAAAAAAAAGAGCCTAAATATTTTTGAAGGGAACCTGAGGGTTTCTGTAGGGAAGAGAACTGAGATGAGTCCTCCTGGAGAGAATATTTAAAAGTGGCATAACAAAATCCTCAAGAGTGGAAAACAGTGAAATTGCTAGAGATGTATTCCTTCTTTCATCTCAGCTCTTCTGACTTGCATGCTCTCCAGTCAGGATTTTGTTAAAAGGTTATTCTTATTAAAATTTTAAGGTTCTGCAATACTCCCTTTGTGCCATATCTGGCTATTTCTCTTATTAAAATTTCTAATGAAACACTGGACTGCAGAAGCTTATATGAACTTTGTATGGTGTATGTTGTTTTTTCTTAACTGTTTAAAGTCTTGGTGCACAACAATGTTTTAAAAAACGTTGAGTATTGAACATCCTGGATCAACTCCAGTGGAGTTCTGTCATATTTAGAATACTGCAAGTTGCCAGGTATTCCAGTATTTCGGGTTTCTGGGAAATGTCTTGCCTTTAGGGGGGCATCCCATCTTCCTTCCACATTCCAGGTCTTCTGTCATGGTGCAGGTGTAGCATATGTCATCTGTGTCTCATGAGTCTACTGGCAGGTATGAGTTCTTTACACTGTGTGCGCTTTCTGCTTGTCAGAGAATTATCAATGTATTTTTATTGTATACAGTTACCTTTTTTCTGGCTGTTTTAGTCCATACCTTCAAATGCCACATGCTGAGGCTTTCTGATTAAGCAGCACTCTAAGAAAGAATACACGTAAGATATGTTGTTCAGGAAGAAAATAGCGATTAAAATTTAAATAATATCATAAGTATTCCTGTTACTTGATCTAATGGAAAAATTAATCTTGTCTTGACTCTTGTTTTTCCTGATCTCTATTCATTTTTTTTTGCAGTTAGGGTGTTCTGAGTTAAATTCTGATCTTCAGCAATGAATCCCTTGTGTGAAGGTGGACAGAATTTGGTTTTCCAATTAAATCATGCTTAAAATTTAGAATATATAAGAAATGAAATTGTCTCTGGTTTTCACCCCATGGATTCTGACTCTAGGTTAATTGAAAGCAAAATTATCACTAAAGTAGGATATAGTTATGATAAGCGATGTTACTCCACAACTCCCATCACAATTGGTGTTTCACATTTTTCATTAATGTATAGGAACACCATGTATCTTGGTCTGCAGCACTGGCTCTCTACTTAATGGGATAACAGAAAAATACATAGGGCAGACAGCAAGGAATGGCATGGAAAGGTAATGAAAGCCATGCAAGCACAAGCAGTTGAGAGTGGAGGAAGGCTTGCTTTTCCAAGTCAGGTATTTTTACAAATGGTTGCCTGTAAAACATGCAGTTTACATTTGGAATATCTAATGTTCTGTCCCTTTGACTCAGCTCTGCTGCCTGTGCCTGATGGTTTAGGAGTCCCTAGCGCTCATACGCCTTGAGAGAGGAGGTAATGCCTTCCCTGGTAACTCAGTAACCTTGCTCCTCCTGTGAGATGAGCTGTGGAAGGTGTGATTATGCACAGTGGGATAGTTTAGAGGAGTTGGGAGATGGCTTCTTTTTGCCACTTGTGTGAGGAGGATGGCAGCTTATTTAGTATTCTAACACAAGGCTGGCAGCTTCATTCACCCCATTTGTGTCCTTTGCTTTTTTGCTCATGTTTAAGCCAATCTCATCAGCTGGACATGGTGAAAACCTGAAGTGTAAAGATGTGTTTTTATTCAACATGTATGTGACTTAGTGACTTGATTTTGAAAGTCATGTGAGTTCTTACTTGCACTAATGATCTAGGGCATATCCCTGGCTGTCTTGCTCTTATGTCATCCATTGTACAGATCAGTACAGCAGTAACTTCTGTTCAGTTTTAAGATTCTGTGCCATTTTCTAATACACATAGATTATAACCAGCGTTCTCTCAATATTATGGAATCATGGACTTAGAAAGTTAAGAATGAGAGTCTGTGAGTGAGTGGGTTTTGAACTTGGAAATAGCTTATGCAGCTTGTTGATTGATGTTAACCTTGCTTGTGTTTAAAATTGTATTTCAGATTGAGTTTAGTATCAGCTCATTTTTTAAATGCCACTTTAAAAAGTATTTGAGTTTCAGGTAATTCTGTTTAATACTTGAGCATTTGATTTTTGTTTGTTTTATAATATTACAATGTTTGCACTGTTGGCACTATTATTATATTCTAAAAGAAAGCTAAATCATAAGTAAAAAATATATATAAAGAAAAACGGCTGTTTGAGGGTTTTAAAATTGTTTTTATACTCCCTCTGCTGGCTGTTTCAATTACAAGTACCTGTACTTGAACATTGTTACTAAATCTGCTTTTTCTTTTACGGTTTTATCAAATAAGTAGTAAAGTGCATTGATATAATTTTTTTTTAAAGTATAATTGTTAAATGAAGAAACACGCTTTGCAGGAATGGGAAGTCTGACA